GATCTGTTCTCAGCATAATGGACTACTTTGCGAAGTTCTGCAAAATTGTGAGCTGGCAGCATCCATTTTTGCAGGGCATTCCTCCAACCATTCATATTAACCGCATTTGCCGAAGTAAGGATCTAGGATCGTTCGTAGGATCGCACCTCAGGGGAAACCATTCATATTAACCGCATTTGCCGCGGCGAAGTAAGGATCTAGGATCGTTCGTAGGATCGCACCTCAGGGGAAGACCTCTACAACCTTACTTATGCTCCAGCTGTGCAGGAAAAACGCGGGCTCTAATGGAAGTCCCTCGGCCACGACCCTGATCTGATGAAGCATCAAACGCCCCTTGCAGGTCAATGCTGAGCTGCTAGAGAGAGTTGAAAGCTTGAAGACTCAAAGTCAGTGCCATGCCGAAAATGAAGGGTATTGCGCCCCACGTTGAATAAGCGGATTGCCGATTTCCTGGCCAGGGTATTAGGATAAAAAGTAAAGGAAAGATTAACGAGGTTTTTTCCACAGAGCTCTTCTAGGGATTCTGGAAAAAAGCGCACAACTTTTTGGAATAAGGGTACTTCGAAACACCTCATTGCGTTGTTTACCGCTTGAGGCGCATGATGCACATAGCTTAAAGTGTCTACGATGTAATCTAGGAAAGAACATAAAATATAATTGCAAATGGAACACGTTATATGGTACGTGGTGACAAAAACACGGAATTCTCATAAAAGGCGCGCTGAGATCGCTTTATGTGCAGCAGTTAAAGTGGGTCCGAGCTGACAGTGGTGGAGTTTTTTTCAAGGGCGAGGTAAATGGGCCCCTGGCTGCTATAGCGGTTCACTTTCTTTGCTCGAAAGTGCGTGTGGCAAAGCAGGAGAACGGTACGTCCTGCTGCTGGGGAAAATTTTTGGAAAATTTAACCCTTCTAATTCCCTTTTCTGATACGTCCTCCCCTCTGGACGGTTGTTATACCCGAATAAAGCCTCCGTCTACTATCCTCATTGGATAGCACTTGCCTTGATACCTATATGGCGCAGCGAGCACGCAACCAGTAGTAGAGGTCAGCAAGAAGTGCTGAAAAGTAGCGCGTTCGGCTATGTTTGGGGTGTACCTCCCTATGCGGCAGTGCTAGGAGGAAGCACGGAGGCAGAATCCGGGTACCACTACCCTCCAGCCCACCTACCGTTCACTAAGAAGGTGCACGCTTCCATAGCTGTGGATCAATTCACATCATGCATGGCAGGGACGAGGTCACAGTAATAGTTTCTCCTCGAGTGAAAATTGAGTGGAAATTTTTCCACTGTGGGGAATCGAACAATCTCACTGGTTTCTGGCACTGATTTCACCGCACAACAATATCGTGCTTCACATTGCGCTCCCCCTTCGGCACCTACATTGAGCAGAGAAACCGCGGAATATTGCTGCAAGATATGATATTTGTCAAGGTCACTGAGAGAGATTGGTGGGAAAGTTCCCAAGTTTTTTCTCCTTAAGAAAGCAAAAATATTGCTGTAACCAACCTGCATAGTTATCCACAGACCAAACTCCTTACTTTCAGTGAAGGTTGCGACTCCTTTCAATACTTTGTTGTGCGCACATTAACATAGTGAACAAAAACACAAGTGTTGTATAAAACATCATAGTCTGAAGCATTCACATTTGGAATATGGTTAGAGACTTACTCCACTTTATACTTCTTCATTAGCTTACACTATAAATGACGGAAATTTGAGGAAGCGCTATACCCTATGTCTGCGCTCCTGAGAAGTTCCCCATGGGCTCCTCACAGTGACTAGAACAAATACTCACCCTCTCGTTGTGAAAACGTTTCGCGGAATCGCTGAGCTTAAATAAACCATGTAGAAGTACGAGCGATCTGACGTTCAGAATGAGACTAACTACTGCGTAAAGTACGCATGCAGCAATAAAAGTACCTCTGTTGATCTGAAAATGCCCGAGATCACCACCTGCTGATGCAAAATTGTCTAATGACACTACATTTTCGTGACATCAATTATATGACATGAGCATGTCATTGTGTACATATATTCAGTTGGCCTATAGGCGATGGCGTCCTTTAGGCAGAGATAGCCAGTGGTAAGGGTGTAGACTCATGTCTGCACTCTCAGCCACAAGTTCATCCCTGCCGAGGCACAAAACCATGCCTTGCAAAAATTGCCGTCGCAACAATCATGAGTGAAAGTCGCAGAAGTTTCAGTGTCAATGCTAGGACGTCACCCGGAAGTGGCGCGCAGAACCCTCGCCCGAGTTCTGTGGTCAGTATGCGAGGGCTACCGAGGGTGAACGACCTCGGCCAAAGAAGCTAGTTCGAATTGGGACCCTGAACGTGGGGTCGCTTACCGGGAAGTCTCGTGAGGTTGCCGACTCATGAGACGCAAAATGGTCCAAGTCCTATGCCTCCAGGAAGCGTGATGGAAGAGTGCGAATCCCTGCGAGAGGTCAACCTCTTTCACAATGGAGGGGAAAACATCAATGGTGTGGCCATAAGGGTAGCAGAATCCCACGAGGACTACGTCTCTCTGTGAGCAGGGATCAGTGATCGAATCATGGCTGTGAGAATAGGTACCAAAAATAGATACTGGGCAATAGTGACTGGATACGCACCACAATTCGCTTGCTCCGTGCTGGAGAAGAATGAATTTTTTCTAATCCTAGACGAGACCATAAGATTTATTCCAGAGGGTGACTATCTCAACATACCTGGTGAGATAGTCCCCTGAATGGCCATGTGGCTTGACAGCACGAGTCCAGAATAAGTCCATGAAGGCTGAGCAAGAACTTCCTTAAAAAAAAGGAACGCTGAGGGAGAACGTCCTTAATACATTAATCCTCAACCTTAGCACAGTCCACGACCTAGCGATCTGCAGGACCATCTCCGCGGAAAAAAGGCCCAGAAGACAGCAGTGGAGGGAGACAAACGGAAATCGACCATGTGCTCGTCAGAAGATCATCTCTCAAGACTGTGAAGGACATCAAGGTACTGCCCGCAAAGAGCTGGGTCCTTAGAATTGGCCCGTCCTGGCAGACATCACCATAGACTCCCATGAGAACTAAGGTAAGAATCGAGCGAAGAAACCGGTGTGGAATGCAAAGGGTGGCAAAGGTTTCGGAGAACACCAGTGACTAGGCTACCAATCCCACATGTGCCAGTCCAGGAGACCTGGAGCGAAACAGCAGTCATCCTACAAGGCCTGCAATGTTCTACAGAGAGGGAGTGCAGGTCCACATGCAAAAGCTATGAAAGGTAGCTCCACTCAGCTGAAATGAGAATGCTGAGGGGTCTACGAGTGGACACGACTCGATAGAGTCAGGAAACGAGGACGTCAGAGCGGCCACACAGACGGCTCTGATCCAGCTGAAGGCACGAGAGCAACGATTGCGATGGTACGAGCACACACTGAAGAGGTCTGAAGACCACCCGATAAGGAAACTGTTGGACTTTAAAGCGGAGGGCAAGCGACCACGAAGCTCCGAAGGAAAGATGAGGGACGTCATCAAGAAAGACCTCATTAAAGTGAATGCCACGGCAGAATACGCAATGGATCGGAACAAGTGGCGACGTCTAACAAGAGCCCTACGACTGCGCGGCCTAACACTAGGGAGAAGAGGAAAAAGTGGTGACGTTTTTTTTCTTGGTAATGCTCAATGAGGACCTGGGAGCTCCCATGGCCTCCATCGTCATTCTTTCGCATAGATCTCTATGAATGAGCAAATTCGCTGAGCTCTCGATTGAACTCAATAGAGCATTCCGTGCTATGCTCAGTTATGAGGTCAACATCGAAATTTTTGATTCGCTCAAATCGCATTGCGCCTTTCTTAGAAACGCAACTTCCTGACCACTCCCTTTAGAGTGAAGCTTGGCGGCTCCACTTCAGACAAATGCACAAAGAAGCTGCTGTCGAAAACGCACGATTTAGTCGACGCGACAGAAGGAAGGACTCCTACCAAGCTGTATAGAGGGATTTTGTAATCTTCTGAGCTTTATACTACTCCTTCAACTAGAAAAGAAGACGGGAAGGGTCACAAACTTTATGGTGCTAATCACAGCAGCAACGAGGTCGTGATTGTTCGGGAGGGAGCGAGTTGTACCGTCTTGCTTTTGCGGCACCATTGCCGCAAACAAGCTACAATTGTGACAGGCTTTATCAAACCTGTTCACAGCGATCATTCATGTCAAAGTTGAGAGGAAGTCGACGGTCCTACGCGGAAGCCCCGACAGGGCAGGAAGGCCGAGGTCGTGATTGTTCGAGAGGGAACGAGTTGTACCGTCTTGCTTTTGCGGCACCATTGCCGCAAACAAGCTACAATTGTGACAGGCTTTATCAAACCTGTTCACAGCGATCATTCATGTCAAAGTTGAGAGGAAGTCGACGTGGTTTACACTACCGCTGATTCATGGTACCAGGGCTGTAGTCTCCTCACACACAAAGTATAATCTGTGAAAGCTTGTTGGAGCATGCAAGGGCGTAGGCTTCATTTCTCCGCTCATAAAGAAGCTCGACACATGTCAAAAGGATATTTGGTATCAGCGTCAAAAAAGGCATCTGGTGGTGTAGGTTCCATCATAAATAACCACTGTTCTCTTTTCTTACGAAGGTGAAACAGAATCGTCGCAACAAAACTGACCAGACTGCTACTTTTGTCAATGCCCACATACGTGTAGGTTCCATCATCATTCTGCATAAATATGTATTCTGCGTTAAATAATGGGATGAAAGCTGCAAAGGCACAGCCATATTGCAGTCCTATTATAAGACGTACATTTCTTCTTTTCCAAACCTTAAAAAGGCAAATGAAGGAGCTGCCTACGCTTTTTAACGGTCATCACAGTGACCAGACAAGACCCCGTCAGTGTTCCTATTTTATTGTGGCACTCATCTTTCTGAACTGCTAGTAGTGGAGACCAGCAAGCATCACGTTGCGCTAAATTGGGGGTAGGCGGTACGGCACGACCCCTCCCCCCCCCAAAAAAAAAGGGTGTCTGCACGAATCTTCATAGTGACCTGGAGTGTGGAGGGTATCTGCCGTCAGCAGGATATGGTTGTTAATGTTGTGTGTTAGGCGAATTATCCGATGGATATTTGAGTATCTAGGGACACCTACCAAAAAAAGCATAAAAATCACTGAACATTGAAATGAGCGGCATCTAATAGTAAGAAGTATTGTACTGCACAGAGTGGAACTTCGAAAGGACTCTGCAATGAAACTCTCCATGCGAAACAACACGAAGGCGACGCATTGAAGTAATGTGGCCGTGGCTGCGTATTAAGATTGGAGCCGACCCATTTCGTAACACTTTTTGAGGGTATAACTTCATTCAGAAACATCTTCCACGGAGCGGTAAAGACGATTCAAGTTGTATGGCCACGCTCTATACTAAATGCACTACAGATTCAATCAAGACGGCTTCTGGCCAGAGAATATCGCGGAGAATTTCGGGCAAGCGCGAACTCTTTACCTTTCAATGTCAATATCTTCGTCCATGCATTCAATAAGGCATGGACCTACATGCTGTATCTTGATTGCAGCGAAAATTCGCCCCATGCGGAAAATCACAAAAAGGGCGGAGAATTTATGGCGACCGTGAGTTTTTCCACAGTTTATATCACCGCGAACTGTCGGGTCGCAAACAGCCGTTCCCCCCCCCCTGCGGCCTTCCCACCAATAAATTCGTTAAGACATAGCGAAGAAGGAAGATTTACACGGCATTGGGAAGTAAATGGTCTTCTCTTGTCAAAAAGCGAAACAGATCAGCTGTAGCTGGACTGCAAAAATCTGCCCGTCGCGGACTTTCAATCAAAATACGTTTTCAGCTGTAGCATGAGGATCTTCCCCCTAAAAAGCCCTTTTTCTATCCAAAAAGCTCAGTAGGCCTCCCGTACTTCTCCTCCTCATGGATGAATAATAACTGAAGCACCGAAGCGCTGATTAACACCTCCATGAAGTGTGCCATGTAGTCGACTTCCTTTCCGAACATATCACTCGCCCTGCGCTACGGCGCTGTTGTGTTCAGTGCTGGTCTCCGCAAATACGACCCCCTCCCTCAGAGAAGGCCGAATACGACCCTTCAGTCGCGGATTGTCGCGACGTATGCTTGACCCTGCTGGAGATGCGCCAAAGAGGAAGGCATAATGATAGGATGCTTCCGCTCATTCAACCAAGGTTAAACTTCCTTAAAATGGCGCATCTTCGACCAGGCAAGAATTCGTTCATAAACTCTAACTGGTTTCCTGGTGTCGCATCGGAATCCAATTCGGAGCAATCCAACTTCTAAATAATCGTGAAAGAAGCCGCTAACCTTCTCGTAATTCTTATTCAGGCGAAGTGCAGAGTATCGATTGATTGCGATGAGCATGTTTCCAAGCATATGAGCAACAAAAGACCAGCACGCAAATATGGCAGCAGCTTGAATCAGTGGCTTGAGCTGTGGGCCTATGCCACCGATTCCGCTACTAATGCGGAAGAAGGAGGCGAATAAAACAGAAGTCACATCAGCAAGCCCTAGGAGAAGATTGAGCGTGTTCATCTAGTTTGGAAAAACATTTTGTGAGCGTTTACAGACTAAAATAAAATAAAACTGTACAAAAATTTCATAGCAGTTTCTGTACTTTTTGAATGAGCACGGCGCAATAATAGCAGGTAGGTCGTACACCTAATCTGTGGATGCGAATTAGTCAGACAATAAAGGACAGCCAAGGCGCTCAAGTAGTGCATCGTCGTCCTTCCTTGTGCAAGTAGTACAGTCCTCCTAGAGACTGTCCCACTCTATTCGACTCCACAGCGAGCGAGGAGCGAGCTACAGCTGCTGAAAGTTCTAGTTCTAACGCCCGCCCAGTTGGACCGCCCACTTGCTAGATGCCCTCCGACGGAGGCCGCTCAGTTGTTCTTTGTTGGGGCGGCGGATTAATCGGAATTGCATGTCCTTTTTGCTGACCGCGCTCGTGCCCATGGATAATTCTGCTCTCATATTATGGTTTATATTGGGAGCACGTACAGTCAACTCCACCCATCTCGCAGGGGACAAGGCGTAGAAGTCAAGCGACCCAATTTTCGTGGTCAAAGCTTGACGCACCACACTACACTGAAAGATGCACACTGCCGCCTATATTCGGAAGCTGAGTTCTCGAAAGTTTCTTTTCCTTTTCAAGAGTTTTTCTTCCGTGTTTTGTTGTTTTTATTCTTTTCTTTGCATTGGATGATATCCACTACTGGGAGATGTGATAAAGAGATTTGTGAGCCAGGGGTTGCACAGAGACCGCAGGGAGGTGTGACTGTAAGGGAGCGATTTTTATATTCTCGAGGACACTTCTTGCCTTTTTTCTTCTTTAGGGAACTACTTATCAGCTACTACTTCTATCGTGGGAGATGCAAGAAAAAGGTAGCCAGTCAGGAAGGCCTACCGAAGACCATGCATACTGTAGGTGATTTTAAAGCGTCGCGACATACCACGAAGAGGTATTGTAGCGTTCGCAGAAAAGATCAGAAGATGAAGCGATGGAGTGCGAACATGAGTTGGACGGCTACTGGTCCTATCACATTCAGTTTGGCCTATGTCGCCAAGTAGGCCATCCTTCATCAGAATTCAACGCGCTTATAGTACACGTTTTGTGGAAGTAATGCATTCTTTGCAGTTCTTCGGCTTTCTCACACGCAAGAAAGATTCCTGCACTCAGATAGCCCGAAACCACTCAGATAGCCCGAAACTATGCCTCTAGAGCTTACTTAAGAACACTCTGCTCAGTTGTTAAAGGAGGACCACTCTATATGAGCATCCATTTCCTTTTGACGGCATCGAACTTAACTGGAAATGGAACACTTTTCGACACCAGCATAAGCTGTATCACAGGTACACAGATGCTCCATTTCTAGGTTTTGACGCGACACAAACTCTCACGAGTGCTCGCTTTCCAAATTTTAGCATCTCAAGTGATCCAAACGGAATCTTACCTGTTGCCACAAACATCGAGTTAGAACGGATTTTTAAAGACTTTCAGCTTCGATGTGATAATAATGAATAGAACAAATACATAATATGTAGCAAGTATAAGTTCCACTATTGTTTGCGTCACGTTGAACATAATGCCTGTAAACTTTAGAACCTGAAGAAAGCGTGTTATCCTTGGTCGTCTCGCGCTATGTTTCTATACGAGAATCAAAGCCCTCACTGCGTGATGAATTACATTTGGAGGTAGAGGACTATTTGACGAGTACCCATGCGCCACGCAAAAGCTGGCTTCCAGCTCAGACGCGACCCAGGATGGCTGCGTAACCACTCGAACTTTTAGTGACGGTCCTGCTGCAAACCCTGTAACGCAGGATCAAGTGAAGCAACTAATAGGCCATCACGTGGTTTCTGCGAACTTGGAGGGAGCCTTTGGATTGGCCTCTTCACGAGAAGGGAGCCCTGCATGGGTAAACCAATGCGCTTAAGATTTGCCTGATTAGTTTAATATACTCTGATATTGACTGAGGCAGCGTTTAGACTTTGCGATGACGCGCATTAACGCGCTGCCACTGCAATGACTCTTTAGAGTGGTTGACCTGAAGGTCGCCGCACACGGGTATCGATCCTTGCCGGTTGCTTGCCTTTCTAGAGATAGACATTCTGTAGAAAATTAGGGCGGGCGATGTCTCCGCATGTCTGGTACCTTACTCGTCTATGCTCCCCAGAACACTAACGACACTAATGCTACCTAATGGTAATGTGTGATAGTTCAGTGCTTATCTTTCTGTTACTATGAATGGTGTCGGTCGTTCGTGTTTTGGGAGAGTATAGAAGAACAAGGTACCAGGCAGTGTGGAGAGCACTCCTCGCCTTGAAGGCTTTCCTATGCTTTCACAGAACCCTGTAGCACTGCAGCGCCAACAGGGTACAGCATCCTCATGGGAAACCCATCGGGGAGAGGGGGTCGAACTTGGCCGCTGGAGAGGGGGAGGCCGTAAACGCAGGGTCGGTGAGCACCAAACAGCACAAAAGTGTCATCGCTAAGTTTGATGGAGCGGATGGAAAGCTGCAGAGAACTCGGTGGTACGGAAGACTACAAATTATTGAAACAATTGGTCAGCAACATCAATAGTTAGCATGAAGTATTACGTAGATGACTGAATAATACATCGAACAAATTTGTGCTTATCGTCTTTCCCAAACCCTAGACAAACATCTGTTTGCATGGAGAAAGATCACCAAAAACCAGAAGTTACACCTTTCCACCACTCTGCGTAGAAGCGTAATGCACGGCGCACACTCGGACCAAATCGATCCATGATAACCAAATTATGCTTTGACTCAGTTCAACGAGAATATGTGTTTTGAAGGCATATTGAAGTTCGCGAATGAGTATCCTCACAATGGCGAAGGAGTCGAGCTTTCGAGTGGTTTAGAGTGTCACCTAAGAGTGACCCATCCATATTCTCTTCTAAGCTAACGGGACTCCAGAAGAACTGTAGAGCTTGATGGAAGGAGGAAATATTGAGCGTTTTGACGATATTTTTAGTTTGCAAAAAATTGAAAGATGTGAATGAAGTTGCATGAAAACCCTCTTGCGATTTACCACTACTACCTCCAAAACCAATCCGAAATATTTCACGAACAGGAGAATTAAGATTGCGAATAGGTAGAAAACGCAACAGTACACACATTGCTTCAACATGCCGCCTTCGGTTTCTTAGAAGCCTCACACCTGAGAAAGCTAATCCCTCCCCCCCCAGAAAAAGCCCTCGGTTTTCATCCGGCCAACAGATCTGCTCCACAGCTAATTTTCCGTGAAATCAGAACGGGACCAAGCCCTTGCCGTTAGGTATCTAATACTTCGTCAAGGCAAACAATTATCGCCGGAAAATGGAGGGGGCATCGTACCAGGATCCTTCTCCGGAGCGATCGTACTGACATCGCAATTTTACACATCACGATGCTGATGCGTGAAGTTTTCCTTCAGCGTTTTCTGAAATGGGGTGCCTCAGGGAAAGGCCCGCCATGTAGTACAGCTCTTCGATGGAGGTGAGGTGCAGTAACGGTGGGTTTTCCTTATATAGGTTGTCCGGAAAGTTCTCAGCGTTTTGTGCACCTATTTTTTGTACATTCACTGCTGATTAAAAACTCATTCTGCCTTGCTTCTCAGTAGCACATCCTGTAGAGAATTTCTTGCGCTATCTGATGGTATAATTGCCGTTTCACCATTGCTTGATAACCCCTTTTTCAAGATTTTTTCAAGCATGTGAAAAGCTTTGGACGATTTTTTCTTCGACTATAAATTGGGGCAATCCGCAATCGAAACAGCTCAACAAATTAACCAGGTGTGGGGGCCCAATAGTGCTAGAGAAAGCACTGTGCGGCAATGGCTCAACAAATTTCGTTCTGGAGATTTCAGCCTTGAAGATGAACCTCATAGCGGTCGACCTAAAGCAATATCTGACGAGGATTTTAGGGGGATTTTGGAGGCTGACCCATCCCAAACAGTTCGAGAGATTGCAGAAAAGCTAGGCGTTGGCAAATCCACTGTTGCAGATGGTCAACGCATTGGGAAGGTGAAAAAACTCGACAATTGGGTGCCCCAAATCGGAGTGACCGGCTGAGAATCGGCACGTCTCGAGGTTTTTTCTGCATTGCTTTTGTGCGCAGAAACTGACCTGTTTTTGGCGCCGAATTGTCACCCTGTGATGAAAAATGGGTCATGTATGATAACAGGAGACGTTCCGGACAGTGGTTGGATTTCGACGAACCACCGAGGTAATTTTCAAAGCCGAACCCTCACGAAAAAAAATTCTGGTCACGGTGGTGGTCATCGGCTGGTGTGATCCACTATAACTTTTTATCACCAGGCCAAACCATCACAGCAGAACCCTACTGTGAAGAAATCGACGAATTGTACCGAAAATTTTGTCAGATGCAGCCAACACTTATCAAAAGGGTCCGATTCCTTTGCATGACAACGCCCGCCCACACGTTTCACAAATCACTATCCATAAATTGAACGAATTGGGGGTTGAAGTTCTACCTCAACCGCCATATTCTCCAGACCTTTCACCAACCGAATATTCCCTTTTCAAACATTTTCAGAACTTCCTTGCTGGAAAATACTTCATCAATCAGGACCAGGCAAAAAAGCCTTCGTGGATTTCGTGAATTTTCGACCACCCAGTTTTTTACTTTGATGGGATTTCTCGACTGCTGTCACATTGGCAAAAGTGTGCTGATTCGAATGGTGCCTATTTCGATAGGCAGAGCACGATAAATCCCTAAAAACTAGTAGGATTGATACGTCCGGCAGGGCGGATTTCCACGACCCTGAGTAGGCGCTGCATAGCGGTTTTTCTTAGGGAGGTACCTTGTTAGGGTCGTCCTATCAAGCTACAACATACCGACCCAAACGCCCGCCACGCCCGCCCGCCCACAAATGGACGACCTTACCAGATGCTCGTTTTGCTTCATTTGCTGAGTAAACATAAGCGAAAGGATTACTATGAAGCGGCTGCGGTGCTGAATGGATATATGAGTACATACATGCAGCCGTACCTGCCGGAGCGGTT